GCATTCCTGTATAATTTGAATACATATGAAAACACACACATTGAATAAACACTCTGGAATCAATGGGGAAGATCCTGGAGTCATTCCTACTCCTCATTTGACATATGCAAATATGGAAAAGAGGCCATATTTGTACATTCTGTGTGACAAATCTTCAGTCTACAATTGGCTATAGATAGCATGAGACAACTTCTCCTGTAATATAATGAATTTAGAAGTCTTCAACAATGTCTGCTTAGAAATACTTGTATGGTAGCACTTTTTATACACCAATAATAAACGAGCAAAAATTGCAGTTTTTTTTTTTAAAGCTGCAACAAATAATGAAATACCTAAGAATAAATTTAACCTAGAGGATAATTTCCTAGCATTTAAGTAAAAACAGTTAATAAACCTAATCAAGGCCTCATTCTGGTGCCATACACTGTTAGATTTGATTGAATTTTGTACATAAGAAAAAAATATAACCCTCACACAAATTGGGGAGCAAAGAGTTAAGGCCATTTTGAAGGATTGTTAGAAAGATCCATTGTCTTCTTTCTTCTTTCATTTGTAAATACTTTTGAGTATAATGTACCAGGACCTTCTATGTCTTGAGGTTACAGCAGGGAACAAGACACTGGGGATCTGTGAACATAAAGCAGAAATTTTGTGGAGGAGACCTGGACTTTAAAGTAAAGTAGAAGATGAATAAATATACAAAACTTACAATATACATAATGATGTGAAAAAATAAGTTACTGGAATGGAAGAATGAGGGGTTAGGGCATGGGCTACATAGTATTTGCCAAAAAAAAAAAAAAGTGAAGAATTTATTAAGTATCAAAAGCAAATAGACAGTTTTATACTTTTGGTTAGTAGAAAAATAAAATGTAACTACATAGGTCATTATAATAAATTATTTTATTGCTATCTCATTCACAATTCAATGGTATGTTTGAGTGGAATTAAGATTCCTGATTTCAGGAGCAAACAGCTCTACCTCAAAATATAGTAAGGATTTCATTTCTGAGAGCATTTTGGTCATCTCTTTAAACTATCTAGCTATTATGTTAGGTCTTAGAAGTCAGTTCTTTATCCTATGCTCAAAAAATAGCATTTCATGGGAATCAGCAGTTAGCATAATGGCTATGTCGCTGGACTCCCACGTAGTTGACCATGGTTCGCGTCCTGGACCCGGTGGCTTAAAACTCACGCCGGGCACATGTGTGTGCATGCCCAAGATCCCAAGAGGAGAATGGAGGAGAAGGGATTGTGGCGTGACCATCCCCCCAGGGGTGATTTCTCGCTTTCTGTCTCTATGTCTCTCTCTCTGTCTGTCTGGCGAGCGCACACACCCTATAGCAAAAAAACTCTCAAAAAAAATAGCATTTCAAACTTTTTTCTTTGTTTTTTTTTTATTTTTTTAGAGAGAGAGAGATTTTTGTTCTAGGACACATGCCCTTGCCAGAGAGACAGAGAGGGACAGAAAGTGAGAAATCACCCCCCTGGGGGGATGGCCACACTGCAATCCCTTCTCTTCAGGATTTTGGGCACACATGCATACACGCTCAGCATGAGTTTCAGGCTGCTGGGTCCAGGACTTGAACTGTGGTTGACTACATGGGAGTCCAGTGATGTAAAGCTATCTGCTGGTCCTCCCAAATTTTTTTTAATGAATACAGAATTTCTATAGATTTTTCTTTACTATAAAATTCATCACATGATTTTTTTTTAACTATCCTGCAAACAAGGTACATTTTTTTTTTTTACATATCAAAATGAAGAGACTTCATTTCATTTCATTCTTTGGTGTTGAATAAGGTGTGTACTTTGCATAAGCTTTCCCCATACTTGAATTATTTATAAGATTTTTCTCGGCGCGGCGGCCGCGCGC